ACGTAAAAACACACGGCTCCAGCACAGGACCACCATGTTAGATACTACCCTGGGTGGCCTGGACACTTGAAAACACACGGTTCCAACGCAGGACCACCATGTTAGATACCCACCTGGGTGGCCTGAACACGTAAAAACACGTGATTCCAGACCGGGACCACCATGTTGGATACCCCACTGGGTGGGCTGGACACGTGAAAACACGTGATTCCTGCTCGGGACCACCATGTCAGATACCCTAGCTCGGGACCACCATATTAGATACCTCCTGGGTGGCCTTTTTTACGAGTTGGTCAGGTCTCCAGACCTAGTTATTTTTCATGGATTCCGCGCGAAACGCGCCGCACCCTCATTTTTTTAAGGAACACGGTGCGAGGTGTGGGGCAAACTTCCCTCGAGCGGGCACGCGAAAAACGCACTTCTTCAACTGCAAGTGCACATTTGCCTCGCAATTGATCGCGAAGCAGTTTCGCCGGCCCACCTCCCGTCGGGGCCGGGGGGGGGGGGACCAGCTAACAGAAAATCCTGGGCCGGCGGAGCCCTTTCCAGGAAAAAGGGGCTCGCTCGAGACATTCTCGACACTGCCAGGCCTGCGGCCGCCAAGGGGCTCACGAAAAGCCTCCTGCCCGTGAGCACCCTAACGGTCTATGAGCACCCGTGCAAATTACCAGACCCCGCGCGAGTTATCAGACCCTGTGACGCAGTGAACGCCTACGAGACGCGGGACCCCTGAGGACTTCAGCGCGAGCTGCAGCCGCCGTCGCTGCTCTTAAGAGTACGCGCTGTGGTAAACGCTATGGGAGAATTGCGACGCACGTCTGCTCGCTAGTGACCAGGCCTGCAGACGAATCGGGCCGTGATCGCTCCTGCGTTGGGGAGGGGGCAGACGAAGAAGATCACCTTGGGAATCCACAAGACATCAAAAAAATCATCGACATCCACTGGGTTACCGATCTCCACAGGAATCGGACCCTGCCCCTTCTGCGCAAACCTGGACAGTCGAACATGTCACGTGAATACTTTATTATCTGGAGCCTGAAATAAAAGTTATCGATGTGGCCTCATACATGGCTCAAGATTGCCAGCTTTTTATCGTGATCCATGTCCCACAAACAATGTCAGCGCTTTATAATCTTTAAACGCCCACATCTCCGAAGATCTCTGACAACACGGCCAGTGAAACACTTTGTGATTGGATCAGGGAAAGATGCATTCCAAAAGTACTCTGGGATGACGACGACGGCAAGGAAGTTCAGGACTGCGAGGGCGGAGCAGCAGGAAGAGGTTGCGGAGAAACAGCGACGAGAACAAGGATACAGGCGAAACGGCGACAGACCACGAGGAAACCGCCGACAAAGAGGACAGAAGGGGAGCAACGATGAGGATGATGAGAATGAGCATGAGCTGTGCAGATGGAGATCAGCAGGACGAGCAGGATGAGGGTGAGGAGGAAGCGGAGGAGGCAGATCAGGAGAAGCGAGATAAGGAACAACAGGGAAACACTTTTTTTACCATCGCAGACGGAGCCCAGTGGCGCGACACGACAGACGAGCGAGGGACGACAGACGAACGAAAAAGAGGCGGCGCAGAAGAAGGGGGGGAGGGAGGGGAAGAGGGGGAGGGCAGGCAGGGGGCGCCCGCGCCGGCGCAGCCCCGCACTCACCCGAGGGCGCCGCGGCGGCACCGCCGCGGCTGCGGCCGGCGAGCAACCACGCCTACCTCCGCCTGGCAGCGGCGGAGATGCCGGCAGCCATCTGGCCCATCAGCTCGGCGAGGGCTGGGCAAGAGAGCTGGCGCAGCGCGACGTCCAGTCGGCGCTGCAATTGCCGCCGCTTCCCCCCCGTGGGGGCCCGCAGCAACGCCGCCAACTCCTCCTCGGCCGGCCGTCCGCCCGCCCGGACCAGCGCGCTCACCAACGCCATGTGGTGAACACGAGCCGCCGCCTCCGCGGCCTCCGCACCGCCCGGCACGTCCTCCACCGGGCCTGGCCCGGGAGGGGGGGCGGGCGGCTCCGCAGCATGGGCCAGCCCCAGCGGGGAGCCGGCCGCCTCGACCTCCACCGGGCCTGGCCCGGGAGGGAGGGGCGCATCCAGGCCGAGGGGGCGCGCGAGGGCTGGCCCAGCCTCCGGCGCCTCCATCGGGCTGCGCGGCACCTCGACCAGATCGGCGGCTCTGGGAGGGCAGGTCGGCTCGACCTCTTCTGGCCGAGCCGGTGGGGGAGGCGTCGCGGGGGCAGGGGCCCACCCGCTCCACCGCTGCAGGCAGAGCCGCGCAAGCGCCACCTCGTACCCAGCCGCGGCCCTGGCCCCAGCAAGATGTTCCTCGGCTGGCGCCTTCGCAGCCGCCGCGCCCACGCCAGGGGGCGGTCCGACCAAGGCACCAAGCTCGGCCCCCTCGCGGAGGGCAGAGCAGAGCCGCGCCAGCGTCTCCTCGATGCTGGCCGTGACGCCGGCCTCATGCCCGGGAGGAGCCACCTCCACCGGAGCCGCATGCCCGGGAGGAGCCACCTCCACCGGAGCGACCTCGACCTCGACCGGGCAAGCGGGCCCAGGAGGGAGGGAGGGATCGACGGAACCGAGGGCGTCGTCGATGCTGGCCGTGACGCCGGCCGCATGCCCGGGAGGAGCCAACTCCACCAGAGCATCCTCGACCTCGACCGGGCCAGCGGGCCCAGGAGGGAGGGAAAGACCGACTGAGCCGGGGGCGTTGTCGGTGTTGGCCGTGACGCCGGCCTCCTGCCCGGGAGGAGCCACCTCCACCGGAGCAACCTCGACCTCGACCGGGCCGACGGGCCCAGGAGGGAGGGAGGGAACGACAGCAGAGCCGAGGGCGTTGTACTCGCCCTCGATGTCGAACTCGCCCTCGTCCATGGGGCAGGCCGCGCCGCCACCCTGCCACGGGCGAGGGCTGCCTTTGCAGCACTGGCGGCTCGGGGCCTGCGTCGGCTGCTGCCGAGGGGGCGTGGCCACTACGACCGCGCGGCGCGCTGCCGGCTGCGCCGCGTCATCCGCGTCGCCGTCGTCGACGTCGGCCCACCGCATACGGGGGCTGCCCGAGCCAAGCCACGACGTGCCAGGGCCACCCGACTCCGAGCCGGACCGGCTCGCATCCGCCGGCTCCTTCAGGGAGCCCACCGGAGCAGGATGCCCTCGGGGACTGCCTCGGCCTTGTATCCCCGAAGTCCGGCGACCCGCAGGGCCGCCGCGACCAGCTCCGCCCGCTTGCGGCCGCTCCCGCTGCCGCCGCCCCCGCCGTCGCCGGGGGCCCCGGCTACCGGAGCCTGGCTCGAAGCCGGCGGCGACTCCTCCTTCAGGGGGGGGCGACTGCGAGCGCAGGTGGAGCCGCAGCGCCTGGGGCGTCGTCCGCGTCCGACGTCGGAGTGTAGTAGCTGTACTCCACGTCCGCCTCCGCACCTGCCTCCGCCTCCTCCATCCCAGCTCGCTGAGGAAGCGACGCTGGCACCTCGGGGGAGCGGAGACCCTGGCTGCTGGCCCGCCCCCGCGCCGTGCGCGGCGGCGTCGTGGGCACCCGCCTCGCTGGCGCCGCCATCGCTGGGCCCCCTGGGGGCGAGCGGCTGTGCCACGAGCTTCGCGGCCCCGAGCGACGGCGCCCCTCCGAAGGGGAGCCAGCCCGGCCACGGAGGCTCCGCGAACGCCGCAGGCGGCCATGCGCTGCCCCCGACGCCTGCTGCGCTCGGCGCCGCCGCCGACGCTCCGCCTTCTGCGGCCGCAGGCTCTGGCGCTGGCGGCCCCGACCGCACGGCCCAGCACCCGGGTGCTGGCTCCACGGCGGCCTTGGGCGGCTCCGGGACCGGCACCGCGAGCCATCCCCAGCACCACCCCGGGGGGAGTGGTGGCAGCGCTCCGGGGCCTGGCCACGCCATCCCCCCGGCCCGCCGCGCCCCGCTGGGCACGCCGCTTCCCCATGAAGCGTCGGGCGCGCCGCGGCCGGCGGGCGCGCCGCGCGCGCCGCTCAAGCCACCTCAAGCCACCTTGCGCCAGATGGCTTGAGCCAAAATGGCTTGAGCCAAAATGGCTTGAGCCAAAATGGCTTGAGCCAAAATGGCTTGAGCCAAAATGTCAAGCCATCTTTGGCTCAGGGCCAGATGGCTTGAGCCAAAAGAGGGAAACACAGGAACGCAAAGTGGATAATTAACGGCTGCGACGATAACGTAGACAAACACGAAGAATGGGTATGCTTACAGTGAGAAGGAAAGGCGGGCCGAGGATAACTACAAGCAGACATGTCTAGGATGAGGGTGGTAGCGATGATGAGGGTAAAGAGGGCGAGGAAACGCAGCAGAGGCACGAGTATGATGGCACGAACGAAGACGGCGAATATGCGACAACGAGGGAGGATGAGACGAAGCATGATGAGGACCAGCATCACCAGAACGACGAGGACGAGGACGAGGACGAGGACGAGGGCGACGAGGAGGACGGCACGCACGGAGGACAGGGAGGGAGAGCACGAGGACGGCGAGAACGACGAGGGAAATTGCGAGGAAGGCGGGGCTCAGACTCCGACTTCGTGATTTTTTTCACAACGTCGACCACCAGAGGTCTGGACCCCTTCCCCCCGACCGGATTTCATCCTGCGTCGTTGTTTGACGGTCACGAGCCGCCAAGGGCCCCCGGAGGCCGAACATGGCGTAAGACCTCCCGTCGTGACTTTTTTCAGCGAGGGGGCCTGGGGGCGAGGACGAGGATGGCGAGAGCGAGGACTTCAGCTGGGACCGACCGTCCCCACAATCCTACAGGCCTACCACGACAAGGTTCTTAGAACAAAAGAAGCGTTCTAAGAACAATCTGAGACCAGAAGCCTGCTGTGCAAAAACAAGACAGTCCCAGCCAGAAATGTTCTGAGAACAGCTCGTCGAAACCACAAGGGGTGCTCAGAACATTGCTTGGTGGGCCTATAGGCACGCCAGGACGCTTCGCCACTGCCTGAGAGGACGAGGAGGGCCCGGGCGCCGAGGGACAGCCCCGAGAGGCGGCCACCTCCGGCCCGCTCGGCGCGCCGAGCCCGCCGAGCAGCAGCACCAGCGAGGCCGGCGGCGGCCGCGCTGGGCCCTGAGCGGCTCGTGGCGAGCGTCGTCGCGGTGGTCGTCGTCGTCGCCGCCGTCGTCGTCCTCGTCGTCGTCGTCGCGGTGGTCGTCGCCGTCGCCGTCGTCGTCGTCCTCGTCGTCGTCGTCGCGGTGGTCGTCGTCTTCGTCGTCGTCCTCGTCGTCGTCGTCGTCGTCGTCGTCGTCGTCGTCGTCGTCGTCGGCGCCGTCGCGCCGCGCCGGGCCCTGAGAGTCTCGTGGTGAGCGCTGTCGCGGTCGCCGTCGTCGCTGCCGCCGCCGTCAACTGGTCGTCGCCCCAGGCAAGATCGCGTCGAAAACATGATCGACCCACGAACCCGGAAAGGAATATAGAAATGTAACGCATGGGAACGTTTTCAAAGACACCTGATTGGGTGACGGGCAAATGCAATGCTGAGTGTATCGATCTTGATATACCCTGCCGAAGGCTGTGCGTGCTGCGCCGTGCTGAATTGCGATGTGCCATGCCGCGATTGTGCTCTATAGCGTCGTGGATCGAGTCCTCCTTTGCATCCGAGTCCTGACCGAACTGATCTGGATCTCAACCTCGAGCCGCCTGAACACATAGTAGCTGCCCCAGAACTAATTGACAGGGGGACATGCCAGGAGGACGCGCCGCGAAACGTCCCAAGGGACGCGCCAGACGACGTGCCAGGGGACGTGCCATGGGGTCGCACCGCGGGACGTGCCAAGGGGACGCGCTAGGGAACGCGCCAATGGATGTGCCACGGGATGTGCCAGGGGACGCGCCACGCGACGTGCCAGGGGGACTCGCCAAGGGACGCCCCCCGGAACGTGCCAAGGAACGTGCCAGGTTGCAATGCTGAGTGTATCGATCTTGATGTACCGTGCCGAAGTCTGTGCTGTGCTGCGCCGTGCTGAATTGCGATGTGCCATGCCGCGATTGTGCTCTGTAGCGTCGTGGATCGAGTCCTCCTGTGCATCCGAGTCCTGACCGAACTGATCTGGATCTTAATCTCGAGCTGCCTGAACACATAGTAGCTGCCCCGGAGCTAATTGACAGGGGGGCATGCCAGGAGGACGCGCCGCGGCACGTCTCAAGGGACGCGCCAAGCGACGTGCCAGGGGACGTGCCATGGGGTCGCACCGCGGGACGTGCCAAGAAGACGCGCTACGGAACTTGCTGGGGACAAGCGTGTCGCTCGAGACATCCTGTCAAAATCCTCATGCTAGACATCCGCCTGAGCGATCTGGACACGTGAAAACAAGCGTTTCGCTCAACACATGCTCAACACATTCTCATGCTAGACATCCGCCTGGGCGAAATGGACACGTGAAAACAAGTGGTTCACTCGAGACATCCTCAACACATCTTCATGTGAGACGTCCGCCTGGGCGACCTGGGCACGTGAAAACGCTCGAGACGTTTTCAACACCTCCTCATGGTAGACATCCGCCTGGGCGACCTGTACACGTGAAAGCTCGCTCGAGACATCCTCAACACGTCTTCATGTCAGACATCCGCCTGGGCGACCTGGACACGTGGAAACAAGCGTACATCTCGAGACATTCTCAACACATCCTCATGCTGGGCATCTGCCTGGGCAACCTGGACACGTGCAAACAAGCATCTCGATCGAGATTTCCTCAACACATCTTCATGCTAGACATCCGCCTGGGCGGCGAGGACGCGTGAAACCAAGCGTCTCGCTCGAGACATCCTCAACAAATCCTGGCGCTAGACCTCTGCCTGGGCAACCTGGAGGCGTGAAACCAAGCGTCTCGCTCAAGACATCCTCAAGATCTGGGCACGTGAAAACAAGCATTTCACTTGAGAGATCCTCAGAATTCAGGTCCCCAGGAGAGGACAATCTATAAAACAAATCAAGCGTTTCGCTCGAGAAATCCTTAACAAATTCTGAAAAGCAAACGTTTCGCTCGAGACATCCTCAACAATAATTCCGCCGGCCGTGGGCGACCTCGTTATTTATCGCAAAATAATTCCGCCGGCGCTACAGCCGTCGATTCCGGAAATAAACGACTAAAAAGGAACCCTGGGCCCACGCTTTTTCCGGGAAAAGAGCACGGCGGCAAATTTCTTCCCGCTTGCGGCCTCTGGGGGCCCTCGCCGGGCCCAGGGACCGTCCAAAAACGGCTCAGGATGAGAAACTGGTCCTGGGGAAAGGGTCGGGACTTCCGGGGACCGCGTATGAACAAATCAAGACGTCGCATGTCTGGGAAGGATGGCGGAGAAAGAGGCTCAGGAGGAGGATGGAAGGAGGAGGAGGGGGGGGAGGACGACGACGACCTGCACGTCCCCTATCCCCCTGCCCCACTCTGTCCCGCTCCTCCTCACCATCCCCTCCTCCTCCGCCTCCTCCTCCTCACACACACACGCACTTTGCGAGATTGAGCACCGCGTTGGCCAAAGGGCACCGGACATTGAACCCAGGAAAAAACGAACCACTTGGTTTGTCTTGTTGGCAAAGAAGACTACAAGGCGACCTGTCTCCTACGGCGGGACACTGGCACACGGTTGCAGGGGAAAGCTTGTCGTGCCACGAGGGTGTTGAGCCCTAGTCTTCCTGCCGAGCAAGGGCTGGCTGGGGAGATCAGTTGGAGATGCCAAGCAAGAACCAAATCATGGCATATGCGTTGAGTTGTCTGGAACTTGCGAACACCTCGGCCAATGAAACGACTGATGTTCTACGCGTTTCTGGCAGGTGCAGTATCATCCGGCCTTATATGCTGTTGATGAGAAACGGCATGCCGACAAGCTGGACTCACGACTTGCTGAGTACCTCGGAAGACTATCTGCGGGAGAGCTGGGCTGGGTGCGCGTCGACGGGGAGCGCAAGAGTAGCACGACGGAGGAGATATTTCGGGAGTGGTGACTTGAGGGAACAACTGATACTCGTGCACGTACTCCGAGTTTCTTGATAAGCGTCGAGGGGGCGCCACCCCTGCCGACAGCCCCACATCGACAACCGTCGCGGGCAGCCATCGCGCAGGCGCTCCGACCTCCGTCGCGGCGCGACGACGATGCGAGGTTGACCCCCGTCGGGGGGGTGCACCCCCACGCTTCGTAAGAAACCCAGAGTAGGCTTAGATGGTATCAAGCGTGGGCCCGCTTTCCGAAAGGCCATGGAGGAGTGACAAGTGCAGTATTTGCCACCTTTGGTGGTGATGGGTTCACGGCGGGAATATCAACGCGAGCCGACCCCTTGGGCGAAGCAAAGCCTGGACGACCTTGACAGCACTAGCACTCGTGAACGAAACGAGGAAGAGGTGGTTCGAGGAGAGAGAGGGATATATATATATATATAGAGAGAGAGAGAGAGAGCGAGCGAGCGAGCGAGAGATAGAGATAGGGAGAGATAGAGCGATTAAGGAGTGGCTCGGGGGGGGAGAGATAGAGAGAGATAGAGAGCGAGAAAGAGAGAGAGAGAGAGGCGTTAGCGAGATGCTGGAGGGCACGCCTGTGCACGCGCTGAAACAGACCCATCCATACCGAACAGCTATGCCGGACAATGGTCTAGGTCCCATACTCGAACAGAAAGGTCACGGGCGGAGGAGGAGGAGGAGGAGGAGGAGGAGGACGAGGAGGAGCTGGAAAAGCCCGACTGGTGCGAATTTCAAATGAAGGGAGGATATGAGCACAGTTCCTTTCGCACACCAGCAGCACTAACATAACATCGTAAAGGGCAACACTAGCTGCACACCTTGATTTGGGATCCTGGTGAAGACGAACATCTGTCCGTGGTGCAGGAACACGCATGGCACTTCATCACGTATTTCGTGCAGCGGGTGGGCACAAACTTTCTTATGCTGATCATTCTAAGTGGGGCCACGCACCACAACTAACAAGAGGACCTCGCGTGAAGTCTCTGTGACTACGAAGCTCGATATTAAATTAAGACCACTGCCACTTGCACGCTACCAGACACCACCCTGGCCCCGAAACAAGAACAACGCGCGAACAACATGATCCGCTTTCTACTCTTCCTCCTTGCCCGGGTGGCAGCGGGCATGCCAGACGCAGAGCTGCCAGAATGGAGGCTGGGGAAGAGGCCGGCAAGAGGAGCTACAGGATGGTCGGCACCGGCAGAAGGCTCGCCGCGCAGAGCCCAGCAACGACGTAGAGGCAGCCGTGAACACACTGCAGAAGTTAGCGTTGCGCGATACTGCTGGCAACAAGGAGCAGGACCATTTCATGAGCGAATTGTTGCTAGAGTACAGTGCGTTTCGCTCGGCGCACGGGCTTGCTTGGAGGAGGAGGAGGAGGAGAAGGAGGAAAGCAAGGAGCACCAGATAGAGGTCAGGGCCGCAGACAAGAGGCACGGCCTTGGCCCGAAACGTTGTCATGTAGCATCAAGTGCGTCGTCACGATGCCAGAGACGTTCCAGGCCGACACCCCCCACAAGCAGGAGTGCAGAGCAGTTCTGGCAGATGTAGTGACATCCAACGCTCCGAGTTTAAGGATAGGGGCCATGATCGAAACATGATCGACCCACGAACCCGGAAAGGCATATATAAATGTAAGGCATTGCAACATTTCAAAGACACCTGATTGGGCGACGGGCACATGCAATGCTGAATGTATCGATGATGATGTACTGTGCCGAGGGCTGTGCTGTGCTACGCCGTGCTGAACTGCGATGTGCCATGCCGCGATTGTGCTCTATATAGCGTTGTGGATCGAGTCCTCCCTGGCATCCGAGTCCTCACCGAACTGATCTGGAGCGTAAGCTCGAGCTGCCTGAGCAGATGGTAGCTGCCCCAGAACTACTCGACAGAGGGAACATGCCAGGAGGACGCGCCGCGGAACGTCCCAAGGGACGCGCCAGGCGACGTGCCAGGGGACGTGCCATAGGGACGCACCGCGGGACGTGCCAAGGGGACGCGCTACGGAACGTGCCAATGGACGTGCCGAGGGACGTGCCAGGGGACGCGCCGCGCGACGCGCCAGGTTGACTCGCCACGGAACGCGCTAAGGAACGTGCCAAAGTGCATAGTTGAGTGTATCGA